TTTAAACAGATTCATTGACTGTTACTTGGTTTGGTGATATGGCGAATAACTAAAACCGATGTCGTCTAAAAATGTGATCTACGTAAATAATTTAGGGCCTCTTCACATGAGCCCGTTTGACCGGTCTCGCCGGCTTACCGGAACGAATTTCGCCTTGGGTTCATATGACAAATTTCAGCTCGGTTTCCGAGAAGAGAAAAGGCCAGAGATCGTGGTGACGAGTTCTGGTTCCAAATTCGAGAAACAAAGAAAACGTGACGAAACACAAAAATTATAACTTTCGTGCCTATCAAAGCTACGGCGACTCTTAAATTTATTAAAATTGGATGCTTATGATTGTGGAAAATACAGCAGGAAATGCAAGACGATGCTATTCCGTGATCCCCCTTTCATCGCGGTAACCGGGCTAAAGTGTTCATATGGCAAAATTTCCAGCCCGACCGAAATCTCGGGAACCGAACCACCCGCCCTCTCATATGAACACATCGAAAATTTTTCAAAGGATTTAGAGGCAAAGCGAGATCTTGGACAGTCTCGCAAACCGGGCCCATATGAAGAGGGGCCCTTAATCTTCTTCTTTGGGGTCTTTTGGGTTATCATATGAATTTTACATTTTCGAGAATATAACGACACATTTTCGCCGAGGTGTATCGAAGGAAAATCTTTCAGTATTCGTCAGTCCGAACGTAATTTTCTCAAAGGTTCGAAAGTTAGGGATAAGTTTGTAATTTTTGACGCAGGAAAAGGAGTGTGTTTTAAGAAAAAAAATCATCATTAAGAAGTTTTTCTAAAAAAAATCGAAAGTAATTAAACTCCAATATAACTGATATATACTGCGAGTTTTGACGGTTGAATGCAACATGCCTATTAATTTTTCCAGTTTTAAGTTGCCTATTAATTTTTCCGTTCTAAGTTTAGATCGATGTACTGCAGGATTACCTTTCAAGATGAAGCACAAGAGAAACCAACGTACACCAACGCAGTAACGACTTGCACTTGCCATCATTATCAAGTAGTCGGTGCTAAATATTTAAGGGCTGTTTAATCCTACGGTGAGTTCGTCAATGTGTACATACAGGCGGTAAATCACTCACTTTAATTTGATCTTGGTTTTGGCGAATTTCCTGGTTTTGTAGCAGCTCTCACGCAACCCGGTCGCGGTCGAGTATCGTACTTATTGGCCAAGAGAAATATATGATTCACGTGACTTTGTGTAAAAGTCACTGTTACACTTAGTTTATAACCGAAAAATAACCAAAGCTGAATTAGCTTCAGTTTTGTTGCTATTACAATACTTTTGTATAGTCAGTATTTCCACAGGTAGCCCAAGCTCGAAATATGAGCATTGGTGAACATCGGCATTGTTGCGTAACACTGATTTCGAAATATAAGGATTTGTATGGAGGAAAAACCTATCGTTTCCGTAACCTACGAAAATGAAAGGATTTCAATAAAAAACAGCTTACCTTACATAAAATGTGTGTGTGGTCCATGGGCCGATTTATGTCCTTTTAATGTGCTGTCCTGTAAATGGTTTTCTCGGTTTATATAGGTATGTATAGAGAGAAAACCGTTTACAGTACAACCCATTAAACGGCCAGAAATCGGCCCATGGACTACACAGGAGAGACGTAACACACATTTGGTGTAAGGTAAGCTGTATTTTATTAACATCCTTTTATTTTTGTAGGTTACGGAAACGATAGGTTTTTTTTTTCCATACAAATCCTTATATTTCGAATGTTATGCAACAATGTCGATGTTCGCCGATGCTTATATTTCGAGCTTGGGCTACCTGTGGTATTTCAATTGACGAAGTCGGGTTCCAGGTAAGGCCTTATGGTAGCTTGTAGATCCCTTGATGACTTGGTACTTCACGGTGGTCAATGGCAAACGGTATAAAACCTCACCACAAATGATAGTCTTTGTCGTTTTATGTCAGAAGAATCGTGCTTCATGCCCCCCGGCGGTCCAAGCCCTAGAAAAGAAAACCTGGCAACCCGGCAGCAATGGGTAAAAAGGTGAAAAGCGGAATCAGCAACTCTAGTACTTGTCCTTAAAAAAATATTTTGTGTGTTTTTTGTATGTTTTTTGTATGTTTTTGTCAAGAGCTAGGTATTGGGGTACTATCTAAAATTAGACATTATGCAAACAGAAACATATTACTTCAATTATATTATTCACTTATTTACCCCCTCCTCACCTACGGTTTATCAATTTGGGGCAATACTTATAGTTCTACTCTCAGACCTTTGATAATTCTTCAAAAGAAAGCAACACGTATTATAACTTTTTCGGAACCAGGTGATCACTCTGAGCCTCTTTTTAAGAAATTAAACATTCTTAAATTAACTGATCTTGTTACCCTTCATAATGCACTCCTCATGTATAACTATCACCATAATCGTCTTCCATCTTCCTTTGAAAATTCTTTAAAACGGTAGCATCCATACACTCATACAATACCAGGCTTGCTTCTATATCAACCTATTACCTCAATTCTATCAAAACAAACTATGGTAAATTCAACTTTCGCTTTGCGGCTGTAAAAGTTTGGAATAACCTTGATGAAAGCATTAAACACCTCCCCCTTAAATCCTTTAAAAACAAAGTCATGTTAAACATCTTACAGTCTTACTGTTCGTGAGTCTTTTTTTTTTCTTTTTCATTTTTTTCCTTTTATCTATTTACAAATTCCTTGTTTGTTCTACCTTTAGTGCCAACCTACTTGCTATGCCTGAACATTATTTAGCTTTACTCAGCTCTATTAGCTTTTTAGTTATTCTGAGTAAATGTTACCTTTTTTTGTATTAATATATTATTTTGTAAATTAAGTTAACTTTTATTTGGTAATATAGCTTATGTTGTTGTTAGATCATAATAGGACTTGGGGACCTTCTATCCCATACTGCCTGTTCACCTTTTGTTCTGAGCCCGTAGTAATGTCGCATTGCGGCTTTCCAGGTTCTTGCGCGGGGACTGGGCTTCACACCGTCAAAGTTGCGTCGTTGTAAACTTCGTTTGAAGTTGATGGGTTTTCTCTGCTTTGAAAGGTAACGTTTTTTATCCTTTGTAAAAGATCTTAAAATCAGAATCCTGCTGCAAACTGTAAGAAATTGTTTCGCCTGTCATCTTATCGCTGAAAGTTTTATTTAGCGAGAGCTGTAAATCGAGGACAGCCAAGTATTTCTAAAGTTACTACATGTACAGTACTCCAGTTGAACCTCTCTCCACAACGGCCGCCTTGGGGACAGAAGAACGTAGCCGTTGTAGAGAATTAATGTATGGACTGTCCGCCAAAAGGCCAAAAAAGGTGCCGTTGTAGAGAGGTTTTAGCAAGAGTCAATGTATGAACTGTCCGCCAAAAAAAGTGGCCTTTGCCTTTGGCCGTTCGTGGACGTTCGACTGTATTTCAGTATAAATTTTTTCAAAATTAAATTAATTTATAAAATGCTCCATTTCTGATGATTTCTATAAACCTTTAAGCTCTAACGCAGATAAAGAGGACATAAGAGTTAAACTGACTTCTCTGTATTGTTACGTAGAAAGCATAAAACGTGGTAACATCATACATTGTATGACTGTTTGTCAGTTTACTTTGTCTCTTTTTGTAGCCAGATGTAATACAAAGTGAAAAGATCAAACAGAACAACATATGCACAATGGGAAATACAGGCCTTGGGAAACACAGAGACGTTCATAGCTCAGATTCAACCTTGGAGTTTGAAACTGGCAAGAAAATGTTCCCCAGTGAACATGAAGCCAAGAGGATTTTGTCAGGTGCGTTGAAATGTTGTATCAGGACAAACTGCATGAGATGAAGAGTGCCTTATTACTTTACCCTTTAAGCCCCAATATCCACATACAAATTCTCCAAACTGATCTCCATAGATTTTCTTAAGAATTACTTGAGAGAATTTGATAAAAGATCATGGCATTTTCCCTTTGGTGATCATTTTATTAGTTCTCATAACTTTATCTCTTGACAATGTATGGATATTATTAGGAGAAATTTGTTTTTGGTCACTATTGGCACTTAAAGGGTTAATACTTGCCAAAGCACACAAATTATGCATATGTCACATCCATTCAGATTGAAAATCCCAATCACACCCCTTATTGGCCAGCTCAAGGGTGATTAGCCAAATACTATTCACCTCCCAACAACCAACGAGAAACAAGTAGCTTTTGAGAATTAAAGTGGACTTTTTATTGAGCTCCAAAATAGTGGAATTTTGGTACTGAAGATCATTCATTTGATCACCTATTTTACCATGTGACTTTGTGAGGAGGATCAATATGCATTGCATGGTGTGCAAGATTTCAAAATAAAAATTCCTAGCATTTGACTAGCCTGAATTTCATCCGATTACTTCGAGTCGTTATTACTCCCTCAGTAATGTCTGAATCGACCGGCCGTTAACCCATTCGCCCCTGAACCGCCCGTAACCGCCCGTGTGGATCCAGGTCCTTTCTACCCTTTGTGATGTCATCAGTTTTAACGGTCAAGGACAACTTTCTTCGCTAACTGGTGCAGAGTGAAGAGATCTTTCAAACCATACCAGAATGAGCAAAATTCAGTCAAGGACACCGGAGAAAGAAGCAAAAAAACCACCTGACATGGACCTGAAAATCTCCATGAAAATCTTGTTCCATTGCCCACCTACCTTTCCTTTCACCTAATCCTAAGTTCCTAAAAGCTTTCCTAAAAACTATTCCCACCAAAATGAAGCCTACTAAATGCCTAGCAAGAGAAAAAAAAAATGAGGCATCTTTTCGCTTTTTTCTTCCCTCCTCTCTTTCGCTTTTCATTTTCAGTTCTGACGACACAGTGAAAATTTGGGTTAAACTATCTCGAAATTTTGCTTTCTCCGCATGCCCAAACTTCGCAAGCTGATATTTTGCATCTGGATCAGAAGGCCGCGAAGTGTACGACCTGTAAACCGGTTTGTGGTAAGTTTTAGCTCTTTATAGCACAACAGTGACCAGAAAACCACTCAACTACCTTCAAAACGCGTTTTTCGGCAAAATCTCCAGGAGCGAATGGGTTAATGCCATCCAGTGACCTCATTACTCCTTGACCTTTGCTTTTATTCATGCAAAAAGTGAAACACGATTTTCAAGTGGCAAACCGAGAAATATCGTTTGGAAATGTCTGCATGATACAGAATTGCTTTATTTTTTTCGATTGTAATTCATGTTTAATGTTCAAACTATCAACGGCATGCAGTAAAAATCTGAACCGGTTGTACTAAATTCTATAATCAAGCTCGGTCGCAATCACGCAATGAAATAAACACACACATGGAACACTTAGTTCAAAAACACAATGATTTGCTTTAATTGAAAAGAAGCTATTTGTTCCTTAACGAAGAAAAAAAAACAAGGAGACAAGAAAGAAAAGCTAACAGAATCATTACACTTGACGGTAAAGATAGCAAGAAGGTCGAATTACAACATTGATCTCAGAAAACTTCGCGTAAACAAAATCACTGGCCGCCGAAACCACAAAGCGGCTCTAAATGAAAAACCTACCGACTCTACGCAATGATTCTTCATTCACAGTTCAATTTAGCATTTCAGTTTCGAAGGCAAGGGCAATTTTGCTGTTTAAGATAAAGATTACAGGTAAGCTCATCGAAATGTTTGAACTAAGCGAAAGAATGCCAGAGATGTGATGGCTGAATATCAAGCAACTCAAAAGCGACAATCCCGCTAAATTTTTCATAATATACATAATTATGCGAATGTTAAGGCAATCAACCAATCAATCACTACCCGGTTTTCGGGTAGTGATTGACGTCACTGGACAGCATTAACTGCCGGTCGATTCAGACGTTGTTGAGAGGAGAAAACGACTCGAAGCAATCGGATGAATTTCAGGCTAGCATTTGACCAGAAAAAATTAATTCTTTGGTTTGATAGTTACTTGTCTGTTCCATGTATTTCCTAAAATCAATTTATTTATTGCTAACAAAAGTGTTGGTTAAAGTGGTGGATATTTTACAGTAAGGAGACCGCTTTTGATTTATTCAAATTCTTTGGTGCAGATTTAATCCAATCAGAAGCCAGTTGGAAACTGTCCTCAACTTCTGATCTGTTAATGTCTGCTTGAAAGATTTATGAGTTAAGTAAAGGAGGTCACCCTTTTGGGCCCCTTGCTGTAATACCCAGCCACAAAGCGGCAAGGTAAATAACCATCACTTTTTTTCACTTCCTCTTTGGTTAATTACTGTTATTAATAGATTCCCTTGCACTAGATATATAAATTTATGAATCAAGGGGAATAAGGAGTCTCTGATGACCTTATTCCACACATTCACTCAAAATATAATTCACTTACTCATGTATAAACTAATCTCTAGCAAGGGAACCAGATATGGACAGCTACAGTGACTATGATTATGAAGATGATGCCATGGAGCCGGAGCCACCACAGAAAAGAACAATACCAACAGTGTTTAGATGGGAGAACGGCGGCAGAGACGTCCTACTGGCTGGGAGTTTTAATGAATGGAAAGCTAGGATTCCCATGAACCTGAGGTTAGTGTTAACCATTTTGTGATCCTGTATTTAAATTTCAGCCCTACCAAAATTGTTGAAAAGGGTTCATATACTGGCTCTATCATTTACCGTTAGTTAAATTCTTATAGTGATATGAGGATGGCCTGAAAAAAGAAGGTCTTGCAGTAGCCTTGCTTCTTTTTTTAGGAGAATTTTTGCTCCTTAAAGGTCCATACCAGGCTATTTTTGACAATTCAAGGTCAATTAACAATTATTGAGTTATTCCAGAAAAATGTACACACCCCCCTCCAACTGAAGACACAATTTTATTACTCCCCCCCTCTTCCACCTGGATTTCCAAAATTGCTTGAGCTGCTCTCCCCTCAGGATTTCTAGAGCACTTTGATTATTTTTCTCTTTACTACATATCTTAGGCACCTTTTTGCTAATATTTAAAGGAAGTGTACACATGTTCTGTTTTTGTAAGTTTATATTATCATTGTTCTATGTTATTTTCTTTTTGTAGTCAAGGAGAATTTTCAGCTATAATTGAGCTTCCTGAAGGAGAGCATGAATACAAGTTTTGTGTTGATGGGCGCTGGATTCACGACCCGAATGCTGTGAGTAGTACAAGATAATTTAAAGGAGCTGTGTCTCGAAATTCAGCCAAATTAGGAAATTACAAAATGCCTGTTAAATTAAGAGAAACGCAAAAATAGCCTCTTAAGGTAATTCCCTTGTTTTGCACTGCACACCCTCTACTGCGCATAACATTGCCACATCCAAGATGGCGGCGGTTCTTCTCACTAGCGGTAAAAGAACAAACAAGGGCCGCTTTTGCAGAGCTTAAGCTTTTATTCGCAATAATAATGCCGCAGATCGGCCGACAGCTTCCTGGTTTGCTATCGAAAGACAAGAAAATGAAAGAAATGTGCGTGATCCCCAAGTCTGCAGTGATTTTTCACTTCGCGGCCGTCGGGTTGTGGAATTATTAAAATGTACTGGCTGAGACTTTGGATTATGGGGGCTGTGAAGCCTGTGGAACAGCTCTACGGCTCTCCAACTGCATTAATGAGCCAGTATCTTGCCTGGGATCGCTACTGTACATATTTTGTTCAAACTACGAGAGTGGAGAGAAGAATATTTTTGGAACAAATAAGACACACCGTAGCACCAGAACCACGCGAGGGAGACCAGTAGACACGAGTTCTGCTGCTGAATTCACATTTTGCTGTGTATAGAAACCAAACAAGCGAACATATGAAGAATAGGAATCAATAGTCTTTTCTTTAAGTTTCTTTGTCAAGCATTATTGTGCAAAAGCAAAAAAATCGAACCCTAGCTAACTGGAATTAAACAGAACGCCAGCGCTACAAAATGGTCCAAAATAAAGATTCATAACTCCAAAATCTCATCAAATCTTGACTTACCTCATTCCTCAGTATTTAATGTAATCTTTTCAAGCTTGAATTTCTGTGTTGGCGATATTAAACTCATAAAAACAACCGAAAACAAGCTTGATCTCGAGTACATACTTCGAACACGATGGGCGGTATTTTGTTTCTCGCCCCAGTCCCCGCCGTGCAAATTATCCATCCTGACTGCGATCTCAAAGCCATGTCCACCTTTCACAGCAGTTTGTGAGGAAACAAGCACAGTGACCCCCGATTTTTTCCCAGGTATTTGCTAAGAACATGCACAGTCTAATAATTATAAACAACATATTTGAAGAAGAAAAAAAGTTTGATAGTAGAACATGATTTCTTTGGGGAAAGTAGTTTCGTATTTGGTGTACTTGGGTCAAGGTGAGGACTTCAAGCTAACCAGGAAACTGTCCGAAAAAGCGCAATATCCCCACAACCAGGCAATTGAAAACGAATTAAATGAAGCGATACTGCTTATTTGAATAAAAGAAGCTTTATGTTCAAAATAATTTTGTGTGTTTCAAGTAACAACGGCTTAATTCTGTAAGAAGGGGATTCAAATTTGAAACCCACAACCAGTAAAAATACCCCAGTTTGAGAGCCTGCCAACGTGTAAACAAACACGGTGACCCCATCTTTTTATTGCATTTTTTTAATGTTCATATCATGAATGTTGATTATGCCAAGTTTCAAAAAAAGTTTGATAGTACAACAATTTCCAGGGAATTACCTTAAGACTTTAAAGGAAAGTTAAAACAACAAAACAGAAACAACAGATGCCACGGATGAACAAAACTGAAGAAGATTGAAAAGGATTGAAATTAGGGTTTTTGAAAACTGTTCAGCCTAACAGTTTTTCAAAGTCAGGGCTTGAAATAACTATTGGGCAGGCACCGGACACATTGTCCGGTCAAACGTGATTTTGCTCGGACATAGGCATTTTTGGCCGGACAAATTTAATCCATGTTAACTAGTTGCAATAGAGGCTCCATTTTGCAAGTTACATGTTCTGTATCATTTTCAGCAACAGCAACTCTAATTACTCAAAAAAAATCGAGTGTGCAAAAAATTAGAAGTTGTAGTTTTATTACTCTTTGTTCTGTTACATTGTAAGTCAGACACGTGGATTGCAAGACACAACCTCATCATTAAGCAAACCAACTTTGGACTGGTTTAGTGATTGTTTTGCATTGGAAGTTGAAATATCATGTTGTAATACATTTTAGCAAATGCTGCTTTGTTTCTACAAATAATTTCAAACGGGCAAATAAACTTGTGAAATCATTTGGTTCAATAAATCAATCTCTCAATTAACACGATAATAAACGCTATTAAACGGAATGTAAATTAATATACAACTATGTAATATGATCCTGACTTACAAGTTTACTCTACCGTTCGGTTGAATGCAAATCTAGACTTCAGAGTGATTTGTTGAATGTGTAGCATCTATGTGTGTAAAATTGCATTCGAACAGGCCAAATGACCGGACAACATGTCCGGTCATCCACGGATTTGCTCGGACAATGCTCGATTCTGACCGGACATTGTCCGTTGACCGGCCGTTATTTCAAGCCCTGAAAGTTGATCCCTGCTGCTTGCAACTTCAAAAATATTGCTTTGGAGACACATCTATTTGTCTCGGATCTCTGATTTGTCAATTACATGTAATTTCTTTGCTTACTTTAAGTTCCATAGCGATTGAGGGCGAGTAATTGGCAAAATACAGCAAAATCAGGGTGTCCAGTTCCTATTTTTTCCTATTTTTTGAGCATCTTCCTATTTTCTCCTATTTTTTAACTAAAACCTCCTATTTTTCCTATTTTTTAGCTGGTGAAGCCAAAATTTGTAACAAAATTGAAAATGGAATTATAGTTGTATGTGTTTTAGAATGAGATTTATCATAAAACAAGTAGTATATTGACTTTGATGTTCTAATATTTGCAAAAATAATAGTTACGTTTTTCTTTCAGTGACCTCTATTGCCTTTTTGAGTTCTGTTAACTTTGTTGTGTTGTTACTTTTTGCATAATTTTTTAGTGCACCTACATGTATGTAGTGTTATAGTTCTCATGACTATTGAATTTAGTAAAATCCAACTGCTGGTCTATTTATCAATGCTGTGTTTTGATTGGTTTAGATTCGGCCTTCAGCCTCATGGGCTATTGACTCAGAGCCCGTTCAGGCTCGAGGAATAATTGTGTATTGTTAAATTATTATCGTGTATAGCCCACTGAAACTTCATTTCAAAATCTGTACATGTTATATTTTATTTTGAAGTCTTGCTCACTTTTATGCTCATCTTTGAAACTGAAAACAGGATCAAGTTGTCCTCTCACAACACAGGTCAGATTTATAAATAATCCAACCGGCTTCTTGTTGAAAAACCAATCACAGGGTTGGCACAGTCTTGAAAAGTCCTTGAATTTTAGGGGAAGTCCTTGAAAAGTCCTTAAATTTCTGCGCAAGTCCTTGAATTTTAGGGGAAGTCCTTGAAAAGTCCTTGAATTCCATTTTTCCTTGAAAAGTCCTTAAATTTCTGCGCAAGTCCTTGAATTTTCTTCAATTTTAATGTAGTGGCCTGGAAAGTTTCTTTTGATGCTATAAATCATAGCTCAGAAACTTCAAAGGTTATTTAGTATACAAAGTGCTCAATGTTTTATGCAATAATTAACTATCAATTTAAGACAAGTGAACTGAAAAATGTAGAGAAGTTGGTGAAGTAAACAGTTCAAGCCTTAAAGCCTTATTAGAGTTGACTGGGAATGTGCATTTATGCACTATCTGTGAAATTATATTCCTAGTAGGTGGTCTTTGAAAATCAAATGCGGCCCTTAAAAAGTCTTTGAAAAATAGTTGCAATTTTTTGTATGAACCCTGAATCACTAGCTGGATTCTGGATGCTACATGAAAAGAACAGATTCAAGTTAAGTTTACAGCACCAGCTCTCTTGGTGAGCGCATGTTAACAGCTATTCCTAAGCAACTGACAAAGGATCCAATATTTTGGTTGCGAAACAGGTCTTGCAGTCATATCTAAGCAGAGTGTTATGTTCCTTTTTAGAACTTAACCATGACACACTTACAATCTGCTACCAAATAGATCAGTGTCATTTGTGTACACCACAGAAATCCTGGTTCTGTACTTAAAACTATGCAGTCTTTTGACTCAAACAAGCATATTCTCAACCGTCTACCAATTGCAGATTAATGGAAGGAAAGCTTTCTACAAGACTTTTTAGTCCTAGTTCAACATTAAGCTTTTCAAAGATTTGCTGCCAATTTGAAGGGGATTTGCATATGACCACCTTTGATTATAGAACCACACTTGACCTGTAATCAAGCATATCATTCTAATTACAGCGTAACTGAGCCAATAAACTGAAATAAACTGATCACTCCTTCTAAGCCGCGAAAGTTGATCTAAATCCTGCGAACGTAGAAGCTGAGGACTCGTAGCCTTTGTTACAACCCTAATGGGGTGCAGGAAGACTATCTTTGTCAACGAAAGTAGTATTGATTTTCCTATTTTTTATCACAAAATTTCCTATTTTTCCTATTTTCTCAATCCTGAGTTTCCTATTTTCCTATTTTTTTGACCAACACTGGTGCTGGACACCCTGCAAAATGAACTGGACTGCCGTGACACAGCCCCTTTAAGTTAAAAGTCAGTTTCCAACCATACATATGTGTATACAGGGTTCTCATTATTTTCCAGTAGCCGGCTAAAAACTGGCTACTTGGAGGTTTGAGCCTTCTACTTTTTTGGGAAATAGGGTAAAGTGAGAGAGTGAAGCCTCAAATTGCCTACAAAACTCAGTTGGCAAGGTGCCTACTTTTACATCCTAGCTGTCTACTTTAAAATGTAATGAGAACCCTGTAGTATGTTAATCATAATAATTTATTATGTTTGTATGTATCGTCTTCTTGCCAAGCGGTAGTTAAATGCTAAGAAGTAGTATTTTTACTGGAGGGGGGAGAGGAGCCATGACTGCAGAAATGATCGATGTTTCCATAATTATTATCCAAAGTGATCAATCACCTTACAAGGTGGTCAAAGCATTTTTTTCTACAAAAATAAAGCATTGTAAATAAATAAGACTAAAATTATGCCTAAAATGACACACTTGCTCAATTAAAACTCTCACTTTGCAAAAGTAGACTAAAAACCAACTACGGTATATTACATTGCATTGCATGCACATTAATGCACCAATTACAACTATAAAAACCTTTCACAGGAGAACATAGATCTGATATTCTAAGTCAGCTTTGTTGCATTGATAAATCTTATATAATCCATTTCAACTGCGTAGTAATCACTTTTTACTTTTTTCCTTACCAACAGCCAACCACAAATGACAATTTTGGTGGTAGAAACAATGTGATCAACGTGAAGAAGTCTGACTTTGAAGTGTTTCAAGCTCTCGAGTCTGATGCAAGCGCAAGTATTGGTTCTGCTGGATCAATAAGTGAGTTACTAGCAAGGATTAAAATATCATAAGCTGTATCAAAGGCTTGCACCACTTGCAGTTAAATAGCAAAAAATGCAATCATTCAAAACTCAACTACCCATAATTACAGTATATTAATTGCCCCTTTTGAATACAACTTGAGTCCCTTTTGTACTGGTTGTGACATGAGCCTTATGAATCTAATTTCTGCAGGGGGAAAAGAACACTCAAAAACTGTAATTGAATGAGTTCAAGATCTGTATAACAGCAACCCTCCAAGTTGCGACCATTTTGGTCGCCATGGCGCCTAAGATTTTGGAACTAGCGACTTGATTTGTAAAAAAGTCTCCCTAAACCAAAAGAGTTGGTTGCCAAATGGTGATAAAGCAAAAACTTTAACTTGGAGGGTTGAACAGGCCAGAGAAAAATACACAAGAAATACAATCATGGAGAGTTGACTAGAAAATTCCAATAATAATCTTTTTTTCTGCCTTCTACATTAACCTGACCTGTTTAAATTAAAAAGAAGTATTCCAGAATCCATGGTGTCTTGCCCAAACTTTTTCCACCAAAACGATTTAAGCCTGGTAAATTCTCAGCAAATGAAATATGTGGGAAGCAAAAAAGTGAAAGAAGGTGGTGATGAGAGAAAGCAAATGGTGACATTAGACAGTGTTGAGTAACCACAGTGACCATAAAACTAAAAAATCTCAACATTTTGTCTTTGACACTTGCTCAAACTTCAGAAACTGTTTTTTCAGGCTATTGTAAGTAATATTATTACTGTATGTTAGCTCATGGTTATTCAGGGCTCAAATAAAGTCCCATTTGGTAGTCCAAGACAAGTAGATGTCCTTGCTGGGCAAGTAACTTTAAAAGCTTTCCATGAAGACAAAGGAAACCATCTTAGATTTCCAAAACCGGTCTTGCCAATTAAACAGTTCTTATTAAGACTCTGTGGCTATCGTTCATTGTTAGAGCCTAAATCTCTTAACTTTAACAACAACTTTAAAGGAGTTATACACGGTTAGGGTCGAGTGTCAATAATTTTACAAGCAAGTCATCCTCTAACAAAATCACTAACTAAGACGGGGACAGAAGTGACCCCTGGCAAGCAAAAATATAGGTGAGAGCTGCTTGCCCAAAGGACAAGCTGAAATTCAAGGGTTTTTTTTTTTGTTTTTCCAAGCCTTATTCTAACTTACAATCTGCTTCCTTTACTGTTATAGAGTCATTGTCTGGATCTCCCCCTGGTTCCTATAGCCAGCTTATTCCATCACACCACACACCTGTTACAGTGCGTGACGGAATGCACTCCAGTGTTCCTCCAGTACTTCCGCCTCACTTATTTGGAACTAGCGACTTGATTTGTAAAAAAGTCTCCCTAAACCAAAAGAGTTGGTTGCCAAATGGTGATAAAGCAAAAACTTTAACTTGGAGGGTTGAACAGGCCAGAGAAAAATACACAAGAAATACAATGGAGAGTTGACTAGAAAATTCCAATAATAATATTTTTTTCTGCCTTCTACATTAACCTGACCTGTTTAAATTAAAAAGAATTATTCCAGAATCCATGGTGTCTTGCCCAAACTTTTTCCACAAAAACGATTTAAGCCTGGTTAATTCTCAGCAAATGAAATATGTGGGAAGCAAAAAAAGTGAAAGAAGGTGGTGATGAGAGAAAGCAAATGATGACATTAGACAGTGTTGAGTACCACGGTGACCATAAAACTAAAAAATCTCAACATTTTGTCTTTGACACTTGCTCAAACTTCAGGAACTGTTTTTTCAGGCTATTGTAAGTAATATTATTACTGTATGTTAGCTCATGGTTATTGAGGGCTCAAATAAAGTCCCATTTGGTAGTCCAGGACAAGTAGATGTCCTTGCTGGGCAAGTAACTTTAACAGCTTTACATGAAGACAAAGGAAACTATAAGGAAACCATCTTAGATTTCCAAAACTGGTCTTGCCATTTAAACTGTTACAGTTCTTATTAAGACTCTATGGCTACCATTCATTGTTAGAGCCTAAATCTCTTCACTTTAACAACAACATTAAAGGAGTTATACACAGTTAGGGTCAACGGACAATAATTAGCAAGTCATCCTTTAACAAAATCAATAACTAAGACGGGCAAGAAGTGACCCCTGGCAAGCAAAAAATATACGTGAGAGCTGCTTGCCCAAAGGACAAGCTGACATTCAAGTTTGTATTGTTTTGTTTTGTTTTTTTTTTGTGTCCAAGCCCTATTCTAACTTACAATCTGCTTCCTTTACTGTTATAGAGTCATTATCTGGATCTCCCCCTGGTTCCTATAGCCAGCTTATTCCATCACACCACACACCTGTTACAGTGCGTGACGGAATGCACTCCAGTGTTCCTCCAGTACTTCCGCCTCACTTGCTCCATGTTATACTCAACAAAGAGGTTGTGGATCACAATGACCCATCACTGCTTCCTGAGCCAGATCATGTCTCTCTCAATCATCTTTATGCACTCTCCATCAAGGTAATTACTGGTACATGGTGTTATTAATGAAAATCATTATTTTGCTTAATTGGGCATTTCCAGAAAATAATTTATCCATAACATACCACGGACAGCTAAGTTTCAGAATTCTGGGGGCAAGGGGGTTCTTTGAACTGGAAATTCAAAGGCATGCATACTTACAAAAAACTATTGGAATCCCGCAGGTATGGGGGTTTTAGATCTTGAGTTTCCACAGGGGACAGACAAGAGTTTACTCCTTGAAAGTGCTTATGTTATGGACTACTTAAAAAAAAGAAAAATGATGAGAAAGAAAGCTTGATAGAAATTTTTTAGGCACATACATGTAAAACTATATTTACAAGTACATGTAAGAATGGTTCATAGCACACTAACTGATAACTGTAGTCTAATGTGGCTTAGCTAAGCTTATCAAGTACTTTTTGTTCTGTTTTGTTTGTTTACTTGCTTGCTTCTTTCATTTTTATGACAGCATTATTGATGTATCTATTTTTACATGTTTATGTTCTATTTTTTTTGGTAGGATGGTGTGATGACATTGAGTGGAACTCAGCGGTATAGGGAGAAGTTTGTCTCAACTCTTCTTTATAAACCCATCAATTGTAAATAGCCTGCACAAAGGATAGTAGCTTCTTAAAAAAGAAACATGTATAAATTATAGAACATTTTTAATAATATTATGCCAAAGGTTACAGTCTTTTTGTACAATAATAGTTTAAAACGGCCATTTTTCACACTTTCCTTCAAATTCTGTCAAAATGACAGACAAACAGATGGATTTGTCTACAAAGAAAATTGCTTGATTTTCAAAAGTAACCAAGATGGATTGTCCATCCGACGTGGATTACTCAACAGAAAATCTGTCCTAGATGGATAGCCCTTTGCTAGTGTAAAAACTGCTAATATGAAGAGCATTCTTTGACCTACAGCCTGTACAATGTATACCCAAAGATTTACTCAAAATGTCTACTACATCAAGTGTGAAAACGTTGTAAGATAAATATATTATTAAGGATCTAAACATCAACTGTTGCTTTTGTTCATGGTTTTTCTGGATACAGTCAACCCTTGCCTTGCGGACAGCTCGCCATGATGGACACCCCGATAATACGAACAGCAGCTAAATCCCGGGCTAAAAAATATTACAGAAGTTTGGCTGAAATAAACTCCCGCTTTTACGGGCTTTCGCTAATAAGGACACTAACTCGAGGTCCCTTAACCCTGTAAGTCTCTGGAGTGACCAACATCTATTTTCTCCTTACAATATCAATAGATAATCAAGAGACTGGGTCATGAGAATTGATAAAATGATCTCTTAAGTGAAAATGCTTTGATCTTAAAACAAATTCTCTCGACTAGTTTTTCAAGGAAATGTGTGGAAATCGGTGTAGTCAAGAGTAAAGAATTTTTATGTTGATATTGGGGCTTAAAGGGTTAAGTGTCCGCTATAAAGAGAGTTGACTGTACTTTATATTCCTGGGGTGTAGCTATGATCTTTAAAAGAGGGGTGTGACACTGTGCACAGCACACCCAGTGTACTTACATGTACCAGATTGGGAGCATGGTGGCAGGGACAAGCCCCAAGGCTGTGCCCTTAGAAAAATTGAAGGGGCCCAGTGCCTTGAACCTTTGTAATCCAGGGTGCCTAGCATATGACTTCTATGAAAACTGCGTAGATTTTCTAGTCCCTGAGGAGCAAAAGTTAAATGCCAGGGGCCACTGGGCACTGCTGGAGCACATCCATCAGGCTGCAAAATAGCTGGAATAAAATGCTCATTCAACAAGTGCTGACAAAAGTACTTTGATAAAAAAAACTTTTTAACAAAGTGAGCTTTGAAACTGTGGTATTTTTGGCAAAATATTTGGAACACAGCAGCCTTCAAACACAGCAAATTTTAAGCTTTTAGAGTGGAATTTTCTAATGTTTTGGTGGAAAAAAGGAGAGGGGTTTTCCACGGTTTTCCTAGGATTGCCCCCCAGCTACGCCTCTGGTTTCCATGATGTTATTAGATGTACCAGTACTTGTAACAAGGGAATGAAAAAATAGCTTAATTACAGAGGGCATTCTGTGAAAGGCTGTTTGTAGTAACCAGTAAGCTGAAAATAACTAACCTAAGGATGATTAAAAAATACAGGAGTAATTTTGCCTGTTATGATAAAATTATGCCACTCAATAAAATATTGTTGTTGAAAAAATGTACTTATTCCTGACCAATTGTTTTATTGATATTTTCGATGAGGAAGTTCTTATATACAGGATAAACACCCTTCGTCATTATTTTTAAGAAGGCCTTGGAGCTCAGGCATTATCTGATTTAATGCACCTTTCCATTGTTTTAGAACCACTGAGCAGATCTGTTCATTATTCAAAAAAATGAAGTAGCACATGTTATTGCACATTACTCCTTTCATGAAGACAGGTACTGTTATTAATTTCTTGCAACATGCTATCAAGACTATCTGCATGGTATGGGTATTTCCAACTAAATTAAAGTTGTGATGATCGCTATTGATGAATGGTAATCCTTGGAGATAAATTCAGCAATGATCACAATGACTGTCATCGTCATCAAGACAAAGTTAGTCGTGAAATGACAGCAAAGAAAACAAGAGTTTGTTTTGTTTATAAAACCACTTATTGTTTATATTTCATCATCCTGATTGCTCAAGCTCACTAGTAGTACTATCATACAAAACAATAACATTGATATGCAAGCAATGACTTCAATGAACAACCTGTAATTTGATGGAAAATATATGACAAAAGGGACACCCACAGGTACCTATAGAGAGTCTGAGGTTATACTGACTTTGACCACTATGGACACCAATATGAGGTGTCCTGAGGGTATCTGCAGTAATGAGAGTAGACTATACCCAGATTTAGCCTACGTAGCAGGTGCTTGGAAGTATTAAATGGGTGCACGAAGGAGACACCCAGATTCCACAGGCATTTTTTTCATGCCACTAGAGGACCTTGTGCACTGTTGGGTCATACATAAAACTATAGTAAAAAAATGCAATAATGATGGTGACAAGTACTACACGGTCATATAAATTACAGTCAGTGGAACCTTGATAGAATAATGAAGGGTCAAGAGGCTGGAAAAATATGTTCACTATAACAAGGTTTCGTTAAACATGTGTCAGTGTTTTCCAATTTCGAGGACTTAGTTGAAAGTTAGTGGTTTTTGATTGAGTTTCCATTGACTTAGGCACTCATTAAGTGCCACTGCAACCAGTTACCAAACTGTTACTGCAAATTTTGAGTCACCTACTTTCTATGGAAACAGGTAAGGTGAGACAAGTAAATGCCTGAAATTGCCTTCAGCACTCAATTGCCAAGCTGCCTACTTAATACATCCTAGTGTCTACTTTAAAACTTTTACAGTCAAATTCGTTGTATTGCGCTGCATGTTTTGCAAACTTCGAAAGTATTTTGGGTTTTTCTGTTCCATCAATCATCTTAATGGACCTCTTAAGAAACACCTGTTTACTTGTGATCGGTGCATTTCGATCCACTCTGTTTATTTCTGTGTTTAAAGGTTTATTGCTTGTGATTGCCCTGTTTCAGAGATTTTTCTGATCTTTCTTATTCTTGTCTCTTGCAAGAATAAAGCACTGTCTGCGTCCTGCTCTCCACAAAAATTCCACTCATCATCGCGACTTCCTTTGCTATTCTTGGGCAGTCTTGAGTCATTCTCAGTTTTGTTTTTGCGGGCCAAGCTGGGCGAGTGCATTGCATTGTGATTTGCATTAACTCAGCCCCCACGCAAATGACTGACAGAACAGAAAAACCCATTCGAAGTTTGCAAACGAGCAGCGCGATACAACAAATTTGGCTATAAGTTGTAAAATATTAGAACCCGGTAGTCTGTAATGTCAATAGTAAACACAAAGATCTTTATTTTATCTATACTACATGTACTATTTTAATGAATTAAAATTCCTACATTAATATTTAATTCACGATAAAATAAATTGTTGACTAAACTGTTGTTTGAGCCCACACTAATATCAAATGACAACTGTTCACTCACGGCAATCTCATAAATTCCCCTTGGGGGAAGACACTATGAATAAAGTTACAATATTGATCCTACTAACTTGAGTGATTAGCATTCAATTCTCCCCATAGTAACACTGCTCACTATCAAACAGGAAGGTTGTGAGAAAAATGGAAAGGATCAAAAAGTGAGATTGGTCTTGACCAATCACCAAGTTCTTTTCATCAGTGCCTTGGGAATCATACATAGCACAGCGTGGAGAAAATGCATTGATTATAGGTTAAGAGAATGGTGTCACAGGAACATTCCATTTTTTGGTACAAAATAATGCAAAATTTCATTTCAATACCATTCTCACGAAAAAAATTATTTTGGATCACCAAAGAGATAAAATCAAGAGAAATTTGCAATATGTATGTTGTACAACAAGTTTCAATCTAGGATGAGTTCAAGTCTACCAAGCAAAATACAGGTCCTGAAAGGGGGGGGGGACTCCCTTATGTAAGAAAGGGGGATGCTCATTGAAAACTTAGAAGTTAAGGCTCCCTAAAGGAGACCAACCAGGACATAGCTCAAACACAGTATAAAACATTTTGTTTTTTTAACTGGACATTTAAAGGGACTATGTCATGCTATTTGCTTTTTTCAAATAGGGCTAAAATGTATCTTTGCATCAATTGAATTCCAAAAATAATTGTCCAGTTTTGTTATTTAGACTATATTTAGGCACTGAAACTGTTTCCTGTCGTCCTTTGCAACAGATAGCAGGGATGGACATGGATTGAATTTTGAAGAACTTGGGCCATCTTTTTAAAGTTTAAACGTTATCCCTGCAAAAATTACCAAAAAACAATTATGATTATGGTCAGTGCTCCTTGATTATATTTATTTGTTTGATATCTGCTTCACAACTCTACCAGGGCATTTTGTGTATGGGTAAAGGTACTTAGTAATGACTTCAGCACAGAACTGACCTAAAACAGCTGATTTATTCTAGTGACAAACATGTAGCCCCTTTTTAAGTCCTTAATGAGTAAAAATATTGGTTTTCTGTCCTGAAAACCTTAACTGAGAACAAAATCTGCAATTTTTACCTCTAACTAAGACAATGAGCATCCCTGTCATTTTCGTGTGGGAGTTACCTGCCTTCAGGCCCCATGTTTCTAACCCTTTTTATCCACTGCTGAGAGGGCGGGGTTTTCACTAAGAATTCTAGTAGCAGGAGAAAAGTGTAATGTTATAGGAGAATATTTTGAAAGAAGCGTCACGTCTGAATAAAACAAAGTCATAGGCTATTACAGATTTGTCGGAGAATTCTGGGTAGTTAATGGAGAATTCTCTGATCTCTGATGCCTAATGAGCACCCTAGAGAGGGTCATTATATAAAAGGAGAATATTACTTTTGGTCTGAAGTCAGTCAAATTTCCCCTGTAAATGTCCTATGAAGAGAGACAACTTGAAAACAACCTTAAAATTGAGAAGTTTTAAGACTTCATCTTATCACAGTTTCTCTGTGCTAGATTACAGTGCAGTTACTTCAAATATAAGTTACCCATAACTTCTCTTTTACCAATGATGAAAATTACTAAGTGATAGTGCCTTGAGCAGGAGTTCATAGGTGCACAGTTCATCGCAGTGAAAAAACTTTGAGCATACTCAATTGTACATGTAAAATGCATGTTCACCTCCTTTTAGTTTTCAAAATTGTGAACACGCCAAGGCTTCAGAGTGTAGGCTTGTTGGCTAGGTGACCTCTCGCTTTATTATGTTGAACTCTCTTGATGTAGACTTTGAACAGTTGAACTAAGAGTCTCTAAATTCTTCATTAATTTCTCAAGGTTTCCCCCACTTTTGGTGTCTTCTTCCTCACCAAATCCCTCAGTCATATCATCAAGTTCAAAATGCAGCTGAGCCAAACGCTCTTGAAGCTCGCGGACTTTATCCATCTTTTCAATAGTACAGTCTTTTCCAAACGCATGCAGTTTACCGTGGTTAAAATCATGCATAAGGTCAAGCAAACCTTTTTCCATTTGTTTCACGTCTGTCCTATCAGTCAAGAAAGAATGTTCTTGCATCTTGGACGTTGCCTGAACCTGCGATCTCTCACCTTCCTTTGCTTCCCTTGATTTATTCTTACTGCTGCTTGCGCCTTCCATGTATATAGCCATCGATTGCCTGTATAAACTACACAGATCAGAAAGAAATACATGTACTGCGTCTCGTTCGCGTCCTCGAGGACGCCATCTTAAAAATACCCAGAATGCAAAACGAGCCGACTCCTGCTCCGCTCAAATTCACGCATGCGCACCTATGTTTCTTCTCTTCCACCAAAATAATCATCTCGCAGGATGAAGTAAGTTTGATGAAAATCTTTTTCCATCCAGGGTATAAACTGCCGATATTTTGCCGTTATTAGCAATGAACGGCCAGTGTGATTATCGTACCTTTATTTAACCTAAACATTTGAAAAGAGGAATGTTAAGCCTTCTCTATATAACTACTTAACGAAAACCCTTTATTATCGTATCGCGAAAAATTTCTCGGTCGTACAATAAATTCTTAAATAAAATTTCCAAAGAATCTGTTGCATTTTACCACAGACAAACTTAGGTATTCTAAAGTAATTTTGGTTTGTAAAAAACATCGAATTAAAAAACTTACAAGGCAAAACTGTTTTAGGCTCGAGTTGTGTAACTTCAGTGGGTACAAGATCTACCCGGGTCATGGCAAGAGGTACGCTCGGGTGGACGGAAAGGTATGTACAGTTTTTTTTTTATATTTTTGTGTGAGTATTTTCGAAAAGTTCACCTAAGAATTAAGCATGATATCCAGTTTCTGCTTATAAAAACATACAAATATTCCTGTGTTCGTAAAAGTACTGTGAGTGGACTGCCAAAACTCAAAGTAAAATTTAAGGGAGCAACTACAGAATACACAGCCATATCGTAAGATCTTAAAGTGAGGTGGCTCGGTGGGTGCAAATGAAGATGAGACAGACAAGTGTTTACAGAACTAGAAAGATACAAAAAGTAAGTGCGAGACAGACATAAGAAAGACATGCAGTACCGCTTAAATGTAAGTTGACAGGTTAATGAGTTGACAGATTTTAGTCTTGACTTGAAACTAAAATCTTATCTCTCGAAGCTAGAACGAATGGAGTTTCAAGACTAGAGAATCAAGTTTAGAGAAACCAGCATTTTTGAATATTCATAACTTAAAAGCTTTTTGCATTACAGCGAAAATTCGCACCAACCATCAGCACCGCCTATTTCCCTTTTGTAAACAGTCTTTGCCAATTTTAAGAGCCAATGCCACCATTGGTAACCAAGCCTTCAGTCATGGTATATGTAATATATTCCCTGGATAAGTTACAAAAAGGCAAATAACATGTTTTTAAATACTGTTAGAAAGAACGACGTTGATGCCCCAGGTGAGTTTTCGTTAAAATTTACAAAAAGGGCTAGGGTCACCTGTTATGATGTAACAGTTAACAAAGACAGTTTATTAGTGTATGTACTTAAATTTTTTGAAATTTTGGTGGGTTGGTATGGTAGTGTAGTGGTAAGGGAGAGAAATTAGGATATGAAAGGTCCAGGTTTTTTGAGTGTGTTAAAAATGGCAGCAACCGGTTATGAAAGGGGCAACTGTGTAGGTGTTTGTGTAAGTTTTAGGTGATAAAAAGGACCAACGAGTGGTTGTTTGTCTTGAATTTCAGATATTCCAGTCTTTGTATTTTTATACGAATTCTATCTTGTGAACTATAAGAGATGTTCAATTTTAAATGCATATGAAACTTGTAAAAATATTTAAGCTTTTAAAATTTGGTTCATCGTGACAGTGTAGATAAATTGAGAAATACAATGCAGTGATTATATATTCTCATAAAAGGCTTCCACAGAAAAACAAGATAACTGCGCAATATAAGTGCTGCCAAAATTGTTGTACTGTACCTGAAATTGACGTCAGCCGATTTAAAAGATTGCCCACTTGAATTATGATAGAGGCCGTGAAACTTTCTCAAAAACTTCAACTTTTTTGGTGAGCCTTGTTTCAATGAATCCAAACTATACTCCATGCCTTCTAACAAACATTAATGAGTATTTTAACTTTGTTTTTGTTTTGTTTACTTTGATCGTTACTGAATACAAGCAAATTTCCACTGTCAGTTTGAGACAGAGAATTTTCTTTCAAACTAGATGATTGTGGCATGTTTGTAACCAACCAATGGAAGTGTTTGTTTTCTGTGTTGCACATTACAAGAAGTTTGCAGTTTATCAAAAAGCAAGCATTAATTTTTTGTTAGCCATGTTATAAAAGAATTATTGGTTCATGCTTTTAGCTGTGCATGTATAGAGTTATGGATGCACTGGAAAGTTTTAAGAGCACTCAAGAAGTTGGCTACGCCTCAAGCAACTCTAACGCTCGTCTTGTGTTCTCCAAACTTCCCGTGTATATACATTGCTAGGATTTCAGAACTAAGTTAAGTGTACAATACGATCTTGTGGAGAAATAAATATCATCCCTGAGTTGTGTCTGGCGCATGGGTCATTTTTAACCAAAAGTTTTCTTTGTTTTTATCCAGGTCTTTAACTTCCTAAACAAGAAATGTGAGAGGGCTCTTCTGATGCACCGGAATCCCCGTAAGATCACGTGGACTGTTCTCTATCGACGAAAGCACAAAAAGGGTACTACAGAGGAAGTGACAAAGAAACGAACTAGGCGTAATGTCAAGTTCCAACGTTCAGTTCAGGGTGCAACTCTAGAAAACATCTTGGCTAAGCGAAACCAGAAGCCTGAAGTAAGAAAAGCACAGCGTGAACAAGCTATCAGGTAAATGATTATCTTGCTGTACCCTTGCTCCCCAAAGTTTTTAGAGCTCACTGTGTCTATCCCTTTCACTCCTGAAGTGTGTTGTTGTGTGTTCAAGCCTGTGAACAAAATCCTATAATGTAGACTTGCTGCAAGTCGACCTCTCATACATATAAGTTCTTAAAAGTGAGCGAAGTGAGTGACGAAGTCTCGAGGTCAACTTGTTCACTTGAATGGATTTGAATGATATTATAAATTCACACGGGAAAAAAATGATTGACATGTTTGCTGTATCTGGAGCGACTTGAATATCACTCACTGTCCTATTGGTCAAATTGTCATGACGTCACTGAAAGAATTTTCAACTGGTGAATTTCATGCCAAACAGGTATGAAAAGTCCTTTAAGAGGACATATAAACCAACCAAAAAAAAGGACTTTTAGAATTTTAAGTCTACCTATAGTGGTGCTATTCCCCAAACACGATAGCACTTTACGCCAATGATATTACCAATTTCTGGTTGCTGCTGTGACTCAGACATTTGCCACTAACTTTAGAAACAATAAGTAAACTGGGCTGAGTTAACTTTCACAAAGACTTCTGGGACAGTTACTAGGGACAGGGCTAAAAAATTGGCCAATACACTGTAGCTAAATACAGTAGTGTGTCTCCAGTGAGGAGTACCTCCACTTGGCCCAGTTTCCTTTTCGTTTCTAAAGTGGTGAATAGACCTTTTAACCGATATGGCAGCCATATTGAATTAATTAAATTTAAGGAGTATTATGGGATGCTCAGCGGACATGACACTCGCTCAGTATTTACGTGCGCCTTTTGGGGCAATTTTTCTTAAACGTGATGTTTACACTGGACACAAGCCCATACACCGAATGCAAATATGGCGGATCTCTCGGTCGGCCTGGGTCTAGTTGCGCGAAAGCGAGGCTAGTGAGGCCTCGATAGTTTTGTTTTGACTGCGCGTCTTAGTGATTCAGTCGATGAATATGGTTTCCTTCGAGTTGCTACGTGCTTAAGAGCCATCAGATAGGAGATTTAACTCCAGCAGAGACGAAAGTTGATTATCTTCGCTTTGCCAAAGTTCTTTACGAAGAAAGAAATGGATTCAAGCGATTCGGCGCGGCGAATGGAGGCACTCTACTATCACGGAGTTATTTTTTAAAAGAACGAAAGTGTGCTCGCTTCACTTCAGAAGAGAAAACTCACTGTTTCAAGTTTGCTTTGTCCGTTCTCTTACCAAGGAAAGGTAAATATCCTCGAGGACGAGTGAATCTGCCGTCGCGACTAACCAATCTTTAGGCGCTCTCAGGGACACAACGACAAACAACAAGGGCAAATGTTTTTTCACAGTCTTCACGATCCTGTGTTTAAGAGTTTGAGCAGTGCCATAAAAGAATCAATTTTTGGAAAATCGCTGTTAGTTTATCTTGAAACCATTCGACAAGTAGCTAAAATAGATCACGCGCAAGGTCAAATACTATGCTCGAATACTTGCACGCTCCTTTTCTTCCAGAACCTTTTTTCCTCTTCTTACTTTCTTAGTTGGCAACGGTTCCTCCGTTAGTTTTTTCAGTGCATTTTGGTCAAGGACTGTTCTTGAAATATGTCGCTTTCTTCTGGTTCTTACATAGTTTCACAGGCCACGTTTGTTTGTAGGATTAACAGGCGATTGTTATTATTGTTGTTATATTTTAATGCAGCTGTTTTCAGCGGGAAATCTAAAAGATTTTACGGTCCACCGCGGTTGCTCCTGTTCTCGAGAATGTTTACCTTTTGTTGGATAAATAACAGACCATGCAAACATCTTGGAACAGCACCATCTCTTATGAAAATTATTTCACTCAAATACTTTCGTGAGTCTTCTCATCTGAAGCAAGTGAGCGAGCACAGTTTCGCTGTTAAGTGCTTCCCATCGCCGCGCCGAATCGCATGAATTCTTAAGTTTCTTTGTGAAAAGATCTCGGGAAAGTAAAGGCTATTCCAGCTAAAGTAAAATCTTCTTTTTGGTGGCCCTCAGGCATGCAACAACTCGATGCAAACCATATCGATCGACTCAATCACTAAGACGCGCAGTCAAAACAAAACTGATCAAAACTCTCAAGGCCTAACTAGCCTCGCTTTCGCGCGACTAGACCCGGGCCGGCCGAGAGGTCCGCCATATTTGCATTCGGTGTATGTTCAGTATATTAAAATTCTAACATGACTCCGAGACTTTCTAGTCATTTTTTAATATTTGGTTTGGCTTTCTTTGTGGTCAAGTCTCTTCTAGGATTTGCAAGACAATGGAGTCATGAAAAATTTGCAATTTTGACCCCAAAGCCTCGTAGTCATGTTAGAATTTTAATAAGATTTATGTTGAACGTGTGCTATTCGCAACAACGATTTTTAGCGCAATACAGCTTGCAACATTGTTGCAATATTGTTTCGAATGGTTGCAGCACCGTTCCAACATTGCATCACTTTGTTGCGCTAAAAATCGTCGTTGCGAATTGTCCAATGTAACGTCACCTTAAAGTTTTCCAAGAACAAGATTGTAATCGAAACAACAAAGATCTTTGTGCCTTGTTTGGATTTACACTGTCATAATGCTCGCTGTTTTCCTGAGAAATATTTGGTGAAAGACCAAACCTATTTCTTTGGAAGAAAACCAGAAGTACAAGGAACCAAGGCACTTAGCTACGTGGATGAGACTACTGAGCTGGAAGGGATTTAACGTGAACAAAATAATATACTTAAGTTGGCTCAAATCATTTTAAATTTGGAAGACCAGTTGACAGTCATCCTCATCCAATGCTCTTTCTGAACGGCTACGATGGGGAAATAGTAACGCATACATGTTAGAGAAAAGCTCCCATGTAAAAGCTTCCAGTACAACCAATTAAGATTAAGAAGTAGAAGTCAGATACTGATTCTAAACAGCGGGTGAAAAAATAAACAATTCCTAAAGTGGACACTCTGAGGGGAGAGCAAAATAGTATGTGTGAACCCAGTGAAGACCCTGATCGAATACTGGTGGTAAAAGTTGTAAACCGCTTTTGTGGAGATTTTTTTCCCTCCTTTGCAGATTTTCTATCGTTATTTTTTGACAGGTAATCTTCTCTGTCAGTCATCATCATGTCGGGAAAATTATGACTTTCACTCACCCAGCTTAGCAATTTATCCAAGAAGTCCCCATTACAAGTATCACTGATGATAACAATACCACGATTTTTCGAATATTTTCACAGTTTCTTGACGTTCCATTCATTCAGCTCCTCAATACAGAACTCTTTTTTTGTTTTTATCTGATTGGTCGGGCCATGACTAAGAAAATAAAAATATACGCTCTCAGATAAACAACCTTGATGCTATGCGTCATGTCATGTGAGGTTTGTTTTGCCCCCTGGGCATCCCATAATAATCCTTTAATTCAATATGGCTGCCATATCAGTAAAAAGGTCTATTGAACATGATCCTTATTAGAATTTTGTAAGGAAAAATCACGTTCACCTGCAACTTGACATTGTCTTTAAAGGTTTTCATCATCAAAAGAACTGAAATCTCGCTTGATTTCAATTATATGTATTCTGCAAGTGATTATTAAACATGTGCCAAGACTATGTTAAACATGGAAATATTTGTACAGTTGAGTGACTAATTTTATCCCTAATGCAGTGTCATTACTGCAGGTAAAATATCTTACCACATTTTATTAAGAAATGTACAGAAAGCAGAGAGGCAAAGCTGTTCAAAAAAAGGCGCATTTGGTTAAAATGAAAAGCAAATGATGCTCAATTTTTTACAAGGGCAAAGGCACACTTATATGTATTATGCTACTATAGGGTATAAAACCCTGTACGGCTCCTACCTGGCCACACAGTCAAACATAATAAACTTGTACAATTTCCGGTTTGTGCTCATGTTGGTGTGCTTTTAAGCTTAGAAATTCTGCCACAGGCTTGCAAAAAGCACACACAAACTCAATTTTCTCTTTAGCATGTTTGGTTTTGGAGTCTTACACAATAAGAAATGTTATGTCTTGTTTCGATGTTTCAGTGCTATCTGACAGAGCTACGGATATGATTTTAGTAGCCTACTTTGACCAGGTGGTTTTCTTTTCTGATTTTCACTGTTTATAGGCGAATTTTTGTTTACATTTTTTGCTTCATTAACATAGGCTTATCATTATCTGCCAAAGCCAATGCAATAAAATCTATGAATATTGAAAGAGCATAAAAGTTTCAATTATCTCTGAAAATTTGAGCCCGATATACCAAATGGTTTTGGAGAAATTCTCTTTTAAAAACTCGAAATTTTACCAAAAATGCATGGCTCATTAACTTTTTTGCCCCTCAGCAATTTTGCAGTTTTTGATGGCTAATGCTTCTTTCAACATTGCTTGCAACGAACAGAAAATCACACAAATTACTCAAGGTAATCAGCTCTTTCAACTTTTGAATTTAGTTCCTTTAAAAAGCCATTGCTTCCATGAGTTAAGTTGTATGCTCATGAGAAAAATCTAAACAATGACGTCAGCAGAGATTCGCTTATTTGAGTCACTTGGACCAGGTTTGCTCCCTACAGCAGAAATGGCTTTTATTTATGAGAATAACGGTAAAAAAATGTTTTAAAAACTTTCATTGCAAATTTTATGATTGGAGAACAATTATGTCGGANAATGTTATGTCTTGTTTCGATGTTTCAGTGCTATCTGACAGAGCTACGGATATGATTTTAGTAGCCTACTTTGACCAGGTGGTTTTCTTTTCTGATTTTCACTGTTTATAGGCGAATTTTTGTTTACATTTTTTGCTTCATTAACATAGGCTTATCATTATCTGCCAAAGCCAATGCAATAAAATCTATGAATATTGAAAGAGCATAAAAGTTTCAATTATCTCTGAAAATTTGAGCCCGATATACCAAATGGTTTTGGAGAAATTCTCTTTTAAAAACTCGAAATTTTACCAAAAATGCATGGCTCATTAACTTTTTTGCCCCTCAGCAATTTTGCAGTTTTTGATGGCTAATGCTTCTTTCAACATTGCTTGCAACGAACAGAAAATCACACAAATTACTCAAGGTAATCAGCTCTTTCAACTTTTGAATTTAGTTCCTTTAAAAAGCCATTGCTTCCATGAGTTAAGTTGTATGCTCATGAGAAAAATCTAAACAATGACGTCAGCAGAGATTCGCTTATTTGAGTCACTTGGACCAGGTTTGCTCCCTACAGCAGAAATGGCTTTTATTTATGAGAATAACGGTAAAAAAATGTTTTAAAAACTTTCATTGCAAATTTTATGATTGGAGAACAATTATGTCGGAAATGCATGTTGCTCATACAAATCATTTGAGTAGAATGCAAAGTTTGTTTGAGTCATGCAGGGGTCTTCTGTGACAAAACCGTTTTTAGTAATAGTGCAAAGCACTATTTGTTCAGCAGTACTCACACATGACACTGTTTAAACGTGGAATAACAATAAATGGAATGAACTTTAAAAATCACTTGTTTTGGCTTTTTTGTACTTCGATATTACAAAAATGGCTTGAAATATATTATTTTCCTGTAGATAAAGTTTAAATGGTCCAGTAGAAGAGACTTGTAGCAAAACGTTTGGGTAGTCTTACATGTATATCGGAATATGATCAATTGAACCACCCAAACTTGCAAGTTTGCAAGTTGGTATTTCATTCATTCCTTGTTAGAAATAGAATTCGTTGTTCATGGAGAAAAGAGCTCAGTTAATGATGCACAGCAGACTTGATGCTGTTTACCAGTTGCTGCTGAACATTTTTCAGTGATGATGTTTTATACCTACATTGTTTGAGTGTCTGTGAGAAAAACATGCTCTGAGAAAAATGTTCTGCTCTGTTTTAGCTAAAGAACATGTATGGAAAATGTGTCAATCAGCAATCAGTTAATTTGATTTGTCTATTCTTTTTTCCCAAAGGGCTGCACGAGAAAAAGCCAAGGCTAAGGAGCAACAAAAGAGGATTGCTAAGGTAGCCAATTTTTTTTTTGTTTCTGCCTCCAACTTATCCCTTATTTCTATTTTTTTCTAAAAACTGTTTTCTCTCCTACAGGCACAACAGCAGCAGCCTGTCCGGCAAAAACAGAAGGCAGCCAAACCAGTGCAAACAAAGGCTCCACGTGTTGGAGGAAAACGCTAATAAAATAAGTTCTAAGAAGTGTCCAACATGTAATAAAGCCCTTGATTAAAAGTGGCTCGTGCATGAGTTATTTTGTGTATCTTTGGACTGCTTCCTTCCCTTTATGCTGCGAACACAGGCAGTCGTCGCTTCCCTCCACCCAACCACCGAAAAAACGTCGTCATTCACAGGCTACTCTCCCTTTCATTCATTACATTGCTGTAATTTATTGCATTGTGTGTATGTTGACTCAGAGTTCTATTGTGGAGCAGGCTTGGGTATTATTGACACCCACAGACACCAGCAATTCTGTTTTGCGGGGGTGTCCGCAAAACACTTTGTTATAATACAGTTTACAAGTTAATGATACAGTTTTTAATAATTCAGTGTCAAATGTAGCGTGAGAAAACAGCCAACATTTCGCAATGCCAACACTGGTTTCCCTGCGAGGTGACATTTGACTTAGAAACAAGAACTGAAATTATTATTCGATACTGATGATGTCAAACTTCCAAGCCAGTGTGGGAGCCTGTAACCTGTGTTTAACTTTATAATAGACATCCATATTATTGTCAATTGAAAGCTGTCAAAACAGGGTATCTGCTGACCAGAGTCACATGACCATATTGTGGGCTCAGATGCCAACTCATCGAGGTCACGTGTTTTTTGACGTTTTCCGCTGACAAGTTACAACTCTGAATTGATAGCAGGCTCAAGTTTATGTTTTTCAGTCATTTGGTTTTCCCCTAAAGTTAAGTATAAATTTGTGAATTACCTTTCAATTTTTCTAAGTCCATTGTCTGAAGTAAAAGTAAAACGCACAAACAAGAGCTTCGCTTTTAGCTCTGGCTAAATCTATGTTATGCTTAAAGTCATTATTAATTTGGAGGGTCGAGGCGCATTTGTAATGGTGTAGCGTAATGTGTAGCGTATTTGTGTTGAATTCATAGCTGTTTTTTGGAGGTGTGTGTGGGGGGGGGGCACTAGTCTGGGACCACTACCTCCTCATTATGTAAGTACCAAAGGAGAGGGAGGTCTTATGCACACAGAAAAAATGAACACAAATCTTCATCTGCACGGGTTTTATTAAAAATTGCAAAGCATGTCCCTTAAAAGTACTAGAACAGCAGTTACATTTGATTGCCTTGGGCGACTGACTCTGATTTGTCATGTCGTGGAGTTTGCAGTTAGCAATTTAACAGGTGCAAACAGTCAAGGGAAAAATAACACAAAGCGTTTATCTCTTTAATTTTTGTCTCGTCTCCTCCCCAAAGGGTCTTTTCATGAGCAACAATTGTCCAAGCCAATCTACCCAGTTTTTTATGCTTCTGCCTCCAAAGTTATCCGCTATGCTTATTTTTAGCCTAAATGCTAATACAAGGGTTGTGTTGCTTCTACAAGCTTCACAGAACTACTCCCTCCAAAAACCACTTGCCATGATCATGCACTTAACAGCACCAACCCTATTACAACTAAGTCTATGAGATATCTCCCCGCGCTTTGAGTGCACAGCTCTCATCCGGCTTTACAGTCGTCAGATTTTTCACATCTTTTGCAGATTATAAACCTCCAACGGCGGTCACTGAGGCTGAAAAGTTAAAAAGGATAGTTAGGCTCTGGGCGCAAAAGGCAAGAGGGAACTGATGTCAGTCAAAGTCTTTTTAGGTTTGTGTGAAGTTTACAGCTTATCGTAGTAAGAATTTATGAAAAATAACGAAAATACAGCGCCCGAGCGCTGACTGTGGTTAACGGAGGTATATTTGCAAAAGTTAAGCAAAGTAATTTAAGTGATGTGGACAGCTGTGTGGAATTTCTCGGGTCTTTAGGCTCGAGGACGGAAAACGAACGTTGTGCTGTTTGGTTGCGTCAGAAAGGCACAAGGTCTATTTAGTATTCTTTACGCCTATTAGTTTTTAGTCCTACTAACCTGGAAGAGCTGTTCCCCGAATACTTGCTCCTTATGCCAACCAGCTGGTAACCTCTTGGTACAACATAGAGCAAAAGCCCACCGAACTTGTTCATATACGGTGTTTTTAGACATTTAACAGGCTTTTCGGACTCACTGGGAGTACAACACCTGAAGGAAACCCTAAATAAATGAGAGGAGGATGATTTTAAACAACTAAAAATCAAATGTATAAGGAAATTTCTTCTACACAATCAACTCACTCTGTGCTAACTAAAAACAGTAATATTTTTTGCCTGCTCAACAGACGTTCGTTGTGTCCCCAATTAGCTTGTATTAGCTAAAAACATCGACAATTAAATAAAGTTGTTACAGGTATGTTATGTTCAGATAATAGGGACGAGGCAAAAAAAGTGAGCTCAGCCTCGAAATAAGGGCACTTGCCGTTTTGCCTCAATAAATAAAAAGATGAACATTTAAATTCCAAGAAGGTTTAGCCAAAGTTCGATATTTTTAAATGTTAAAAAAAATAAAGCTGTCAGTGATCTCCTCTCTTTTCACAGACAAACAAGGTGAAAATTTAATTTTGTAATCACGGCAGTAAGTTCAGCATGAAATTATGATGACACAAAAAAGAACGGCTTTTCACTGTTTATACTCAAACCTCAGAGAAGCCAAAGAAGGAAGCCATTAGTGTAATAATAAGCAGTCCAGTATTCTTTTCTCTCTCTTGTTTTAAGTTATTTTACTGAGCACATATCGTTATCCTCAAGAGAATTTAAGCAAATCTTTCTTGCTTGCAAAGACTGCGCTTGCAAAGGAGATGAGTGGTTTTTTTTTTTTGTTGTTTTGGATGGTGGTTATAGTTGTATTATCAAGACACGTGTCATACCTTCGGTCGCTTGAGGATTCATTAAAGAGAGAACGAATGCCAGTGATAGTACCTCTGCGAGGGCAGTTGAACTTCACATCTTGTTTAGCAGCTGAGAATGGTTTGATCCATTTACAGAATTTCTCGATGTACGTTTCCTTCCGGATGAGTTGGCATCTGAAGTGGAAGATGCGGTCTTTTTGGCACTTTCCGTAAATACTGAACCACACGTTTAGGGAATATCCTGCAATTGAAATGAAGGTTTTCCTTTGAAAATCGTTTTGCCTGGCCATAGCTACCGGTGAATCTCTATTACCAAAGGGTCAGACAAAAAACGGGTGGTGCTTTTGTATATTTTGGCCTTATATCCCAAATGGTTAACCTTTTATAACTTTTTTGAGGGGTTCAAAACAAACCATTCATTCTTATTAGCCGTGTTTCACTTCTTTAGTTTTTATATTTGGTAATCAAAAACGATTTTTTTTAGGTCTTTTCTCAAAAACAGAACTTTTCAATGCGTCACCAGACAAGGGAGAAATTACAGGATGACAATAGACTGATGAGATTTCTCCACGCGCGTATCCTCGCACTTTCTTCGCGCGTGTCTCCACTCGCGTCTCCATAGAAACTGATCATGATGGCGCCATGCAATTTTTCTAACTTTTGTAAATGCGAGTTAATTTAAATTATTACAAAAGTGAAATAGGTAGTCTGAACCACAAAGTAATTGTTTACCATGGCTCGTGTACCACTAAAACGGCCTACCTGTGGGGCACATAACCTCAAACGACTGTTTCCACTTGTTGTGCCACATTGGTCTTGATGAATTACAGGGCGGCGGTGGCTTTGTTGGTGGTGACGGCGTTGTTGAAGGTGGCGGTGGTGGCGGAGGTGGTGGCGGCGTTGTTGGAGGTGGTGGCGGCGGCGGTGGTGGCGGTGGCGGTGGTGGCGGCGGTGGCGGTGGTGGTGGGGGTGGTGGCGGTGGCGGTGGCGGTGGCGGTGGCGGTCGCGGTCGCGGTCGCGGTCGCGGCGGAGGTGGTGGCGGTGGAGGTGGAGGTGGCGGTGGCCGTTGGTACCTTCTTCTTCGGCGAAACCATCTTCGTCGTCGTCGTCTCCAAGCATCAGTTTCATGGAACAGCATCACTTCCAGCACCAAGATCAGGAGAAGGAATACAGCCAGTCTCTTTCCTGACATGATGGATAATCTGAAAGAAAAAAGTAAAACTGATTTTCTAACTGATGTAGGAAATATCTTTTGATTTCCAAATAGCTAAAACATAAGTTTTCGAGACCAAGAATCAGTCAGTTAAAATGGGGCTTTTATTTCGGTACGAGAAGGGTATAAAATTTCGCACATTTTTGGAGAATCAAATATTAGCTAGGCTCCGTTGAGACAAATGCTTTGCTGCGTTTTATATTGTAAGAGATAATTTAACGTCACTTCCACAGGGTAAAAAAATCAGTATAGTTTTTATTTATTTTATTTTTCAGTCTACTTTTTCTTGATAAATTTAAAAAAAAAACATCAAGGTCGACTAAACCTCGCCAACGATTTCTCTCATCGATCTCTCCAGAGTCATTGATTATTTTATTATACTTCTGTCCATATTATTCTTAACCAGTTTCGGTTTTCCAATACGCAATTTCAATCAATACGATTCACTTAAACCGCATCACTTACTAGTTCCTTAAGATCGATGCAAAACAGAGAACAAGTTTCAGAACTGCAATAATTACTAATTAGTACATACCTCAAATGAAGATTCCTTACTGAGTTTGTGAAGTGAGTAAAAGACTGACAAATTTACAAAATTGAACGCTGTCTTATTTCGACCCTGTTTCGTGTCTGTGGCGTGAAGATAGGCCCACAACGGAAAAGGGGTGAGTTAAACAACCTTATTCAGTCTAACACTGGATCTAGGTACGTGTTATTCTCAGAGCGTTAGCCCGGCAAACATGTCAGAAACAAGTTTCATTTCTATCTTGAATGTTAATAAGCCCTTTTCAATCAAGATAAACGTTTTTATTGTGTATTTCGCCATGCATCAGTGAAATCAATATGTCTCGACTGAGAAAATCAATGAAAATCGCTGTGTTAAGAATCGCATTTTGAAGTATATTATACAGCTGACCTCGTTTGATATTGCAGAATCCATAAAATTGGTAGCAGGGTTAGCTTGCGTCGTGTATAGTATCTCCCCGGCTTATCCACAAACACATAAACTTTTCACAACAAAACACTGT